TTTGGTTTCTGAAAATTAAAACAAATCAACATTCATGTTCTCAACAGATAAGGGAAGCCTGATGTACGAAGTATCCTGGAGTTCACGCATAGCCCAGATAAGGGGCGCACCCCACGAGGGTGTAATGAAAGTAGCCAGCAGCCTATGCTGACGTGCAAGCATCAACGGCTGATTCCACGGCTCGAACTCGTGACCTATATTTCCACATTCATCTTATAAATCACACGAAGGGGAGCCTTGGAGCAACAATAAAGTTGTCTCCATGTGACCTACATGTTACAGGTTCAAATCATATATAGAATTAGCCACTATTGTTTGCGTCAGGGTAAACTGTCTAACTCACACTACCTTATGGTGCATCCCTTCCCTGGATCCTGCGTGAACACGGGATGCTTCGTACTGCCGTTTATTTCATATTAATTATAGAATCATATCAACCAATTCTCAATAGAAAAAAGGGAAATCAAGATTTAAAGAAAAATTATCAAACCTTTTCAGATTTTGGTTTTGCCTCAGGAATGAAAAGTAGTCTCTTCACAAATATAAACCAGCTTCTTCTCTTTCCCATTTTATGAATTCAGCAAGCTGATTCATCTAAACAACAACATGCCATCACCTTCTTTGTGAAAACTCACCTTATTCTTGATAAGGGAAAAAAATAATCTCCTTGAGTTTGCTAGTTCTATTTTATTTTATCAATAAACAAAGAAGTTCCAAGATAATTTACATTTAGAAAACAGGGAAAAAAAACAAAGAATAATGAAACATGACATGCACAACTTTTCACATCACCAAACAGAGAGGGAAAAAAACACAAGAAATTCAATTTCATTCACTTGCATAATCATGAGCAACAAGACATTCTTGTGATCAACAAGGTTTGTGGGGTTGTGGTGGAGTGTAAGGATACCTTTCTCCTTAATAAGAGGTCTCGGAATTCGAGCCTGAGTATATATAGAGTCGCATTTGTTAGACAACACTTTACTTCTAAGGTTGGAATTTAGTTGAGCTACAATGTCCATGGCAAAATTCAGGAATTGAAGTTTATAAGTACGAGATTCTAGTACTTCGGAATTAATAATTGTACATAGTAAATGAATTTAGAAAGACAAACACATGATTTGAACTATAATGCGGATACCAGACACAGGCGTAGGAAGCAAAAAAAAAAAAAAGACATTATTATTGTAATATATATCAAACCATTCATGAGACTAATCAAGAACTTGAAATCTTAATGGAGCAATTTTCATAATTTTTTCAATTAAAACAAGGTAATTATGAGAAACAAAATTAGAAAAATTAGGATACATACCTAGAGTAGGTGAAAGAAAGATGATTAAATTAAAACACCAAATTTGAAGGACATGTTCAAGATTTGGAAAAATGCAAGTGCGTCTTATGAAGTGATTCTTGAATATGATGTTTTTGTTGTTCCATGTGGCAACATATTTAAGATACATGTATATATATATATCCAAGAGTAAAATGTCCTTTACTAATTATGTTTTGAGAAGCATACCATGTGCTGATGTAGAATAAAAAAAAAAGAATAATAATAATAATTGATTTTTCAATTATGTAGACTTTTGCTAGTACTTGAATTGTGACTTTTAGGAAGTCCCTTCAATAAGGGTCCTCTTTTTTCTTCTCTTTTTTCCTTGTATTGACTCTCCTTTTCTTTGTGTCGTGTTTTTGATTAATTCAAATTTGTTTCGCATGAAAAATATTATATATTAAGATTATTACTTTTTTACGTATTCAAGACTCAAATATGAAAGTTCTAATTAAGAAGAAAGGAATTACATCCATCGTGTTATTTTGTTATCTACTTATATGAAGTTTTTTTTTTTTGTTTCTCACCCGGTGTTTGGAGTCCACATTGGAGCTCCGACTAAATTCGGATCGCGCTCTGCAGGGCCCACTCGGGGGTGACGCTCCCAACAGGATTTTCTCCATACCCAGGGCTCGAACCCGAGACCTCTGGTTAAGGGTGAATCACTCCCACCAGTGCATCACAACCCATGTTGGTGCTGTGAAGTTACTTGATTAACCCTTTATACATGATTTCTTGAAGAAAAAAATATATTTACATTTAATGATGTTGTGATAGTTTAACTCTTTTATGTCACCAAAAAGATAATTAGTTCAAGTGAAGGAACAACTTTGTGCATTAAGTCTGTGGAGTTTGAGGAAGAATCAGATCAGAAATCATAAAGGTTTATTGTGTGCAGATTTATCTTGTATTTTGTCAGAGACTTTTTTCATAACTCAAACATGCTATCTTCTAATCATATGACAATAATTTTATCATTCACGTCAAAATTCTCCTTCATAACTAGCACAAATAATTGTCTTAAACAATATTTATGGTGTAAAAAAGAAATTACATTATCCCTTTAAATTCCACTACAAATAATTTAAATCATAGATTATCCATGTGAATTTGTGTCCATTTTTCAACTCATAAAGTTGTCCAAATAATATGTATACTTTTTTTTCTTTTTTAGGCCCCTTGTAGAAAGATGTACTTAATGGGGACTATTCTCTTTCGACTCATTTGTAGCTTTTATCTTTTGAGTTGTTCAATGACCCCAATTTTGGTAATTAAGTGATAATTATTGCCTTTAATTTACAATATAAAAAAATGAAAAATTAATTGTAAAATAAAAGTTAATTCTAATTATACTTTGGCAAGGTACTCATAGCTATAGTTGTTTTTAATAAACATCACTAATTTTAAAATTATTAATACATAAACAAATATTGAAAATGATCGTCACAATCTGAGTTCCTAATAACTTAACAAAAGAGTATATTAGAAGGTTCCCATTTGAATAAAGCATTATGTCATTTTTTTCAAATTTATGATTGCACATTCTGCTTCATTTATTGTACCTTACATTGGATTGAATCATTTCTTGATGCATGATTTTTTATATGAAAAATATATATATACAAAAAAAAAAAATGATCACTCATAATTGCAAACCCCTTTAAATTGGACATTTTTCTAATACTACCTTTTGAAACACAAGAATTTCCATGGTCAGAAGTTGTAACCAAAAAGTTCATTTTCATTATAATTATCTTATACACGCAATGATTCAGTCTTTATCTCATAGTATGTGGATTTTTCTAATTTTCAAAGCTCCCAACTGAAACCTTTGAATTAAGGTTAGATGACTCTCACCTATATTATCATACCCCATGATAATAACGCAAAAAGCCATTCTATGTAGTGATACATAGGCAAGAGAATGATTTTTTCTTTAAAAAATTAATTCATTAATTTTTATGTATTAAAAAAAATAAAAATTAATGGCTATCTGTAAAATCAATAAATACATCATCCAAGTGACCATGGAGACATACAAATTGGGAAAGTGTAATGATTTAAAGGATATCTAAGCATGGATTTTAGCGCAGAAAGTTATAATTAAAAAAACAAAATAATTAAGTGAAAGTAACCATCATTACAATAAACTTGTGCTAGTACTTATTATTATAGGTCCCTCTCTAACTCTGTCAACACCAACATATATATATATATAGTGGCGTAGCCAATATTTTCAATAAGGGGGTTCAAAATCTGAAAAATAGACATACGAAGTAGCTGAAGGGGGTTCGACATCTACTATATATATCTAAAAAAACAGTTTAACCATGTATAAATCATATAATTTTCCGCCGAAAGGGGTTCGGATGAACCCCATAATTGTAAGGTGGCTCCGCCACTATATATATATATTGCTTTTTCATTAGGGGTGTGCAAAAATCGATTTAACCAATAAACCGAACCGAAAAAAACACTATTGGTTTATTGATATTGGGTTATTGGGCTAACGGTTTTTAAATGGTTTTGCGAATTTGTTTATTGGGTTATTGGTTCGGTTTTCGGTTTTATAATTTTTGTTAATGGTTAAACCGATAACCCAATAAGACTATACTAAATTTACTAGTCTTATTGTTAATGGTTAAACGATTGTTACTTTCACACTTTTTGTTAATGGTTAAACGATTGTTACTTTCACACTTTTTCCTTTGAATGTGTCTAGTGTCTAAACTTGCAAGAAAAATGATTGTTACTTTTATGATTATTACTTTCATGCCAAATGTTGGAAAAATCATATGGTTTATTTGAAAATTTTCTTATCGTGTATATAATATATATGAGTATTTTCTTATTGGTTAAACCGAAAACCGAACCGTTAAGTACCATAAACCGATTAATCAAAAACCGATAAGAAATATGTTATTGGTTTGGTTATCGGTTTGAAGTATTTACAAACCGAAAACCGATAAACCGAACCAATAACACCTAAAACAGAACCGAACCAACCGATGCGCACCCCTATTTTTCATAACATGCACATTCTAGTTCTTTCTTTTTAAATCTCACTCGTGAAATAATACTGGCATGAATATATATATATATATATATATATATATATATAGTGGCGGAACCAAGATTTTCAATAAGGGGGTTCAAAATCTGAAAAATAGACATACGAAGTAGCCGAAGGGGGTTCGACATCTACTATATATACCTAAAATAATATTTTAACCATGTATAAATCATATAATTTTCCGCCGAAAGGGGTTCGGATGAACCCCATAATTGTAAGGTGGCTCCGGCACTATATATATACTGCTTTTTCATAACATGCACATTCTAGTCCTTTCTTTTTAAATCTCACTCATGAAATAATACTGGCATGAATATGTTATTGTTGTAATATTTGGATCAATTTGTGTGAATCTCAACTATTTCACCAAATAGCAACACATTGCATAGTTGGATGTATACTAAAAGTAGCAAGAGTGTTGGATATATTTCGGGTGTGAAACATGAAATCGCAATCACAAACAAAATATGAAAAAGAGTTGTTTTCATCTTTTAGAACAATTCGATGAATTTAGTAGATCAGTACAATGGTTGAAAGAGAAAAGCAATAGCATGTGAAAATTGAAACCGCAATTACAAACAAAATACGAAGAAAAATAATTTTATTGATGAATCTTTGTGAGTACAAACTCTCTGTATATATTTCATTAATTCTTCTCTTTGAATTTCTCCATGATTCAAGGGTTGAACCAACGTCTTTGAAGTTAGGATAACGTAGACCTTCGATCTCCAAGAAAGTCGAGCAACATTTCATTGCTTCAGGTTGATCTCCGAAAAGAACTCCGTTGATCACTCCTCTCTTGTTGTAGAGCTCAGTAGGACTTCACTATGAACATGACCATCTTCCATGTGAATCCATGACTTTAAAGAAAATGGTTGTTGTGTTATCTCTAGAATCCTAGCTCCCCTTGGCCAGTTTCCATATCCTCCATAACCTGAGTGTCTAGCATAACATAACCAGAAATCCTTGTAAGGACAACACCAATCTAATCCATGGTTATGACCTACAAACACAGCCTGCCATCATCCAAAAGAATATTAATTTATCACCAAGACCATCGGCGGAGGTAGAATTTTTACGGGGCTCATCATCAACAACAACAATATATCTAGTGTGATCCCACAAGTGAGGTCTGGGAGGATAAGATGTACACAAACCTTACATCTACCTTTGTGGAGTAAAGAGGTTGTTTCCCATAGACCTTCAGCTCAAAAGAAATAATTACATACGGTGTTCGTTGTCTACTATATATACACACGAAAAAATTGACCTTATATATACAATGTGACTTTCTGGAGAAGGGGATTTGGATGAACCCCTTTGCTCCTCTAGTTCCGTCACTGACTAAGACTTCTAATTTTTCCAAACAGAACAACAACAACAACAGCATTATCCTTTTCATCTATGAACAACAATTATTCTAGAGTGAATGGGAGCCTTGGAGCAATGGTAGTGACCTATAGGTCACGGGTCGTAGCCATGAAATCAGCCACTAATGATTGTGGCAGGTAAAATATTGAAAATGGAAAACTGAGCTCTGCAGTCCTTTACCTTCACAGAAGACCTTCCTTCAAGAAGCTTCATCATCCCCATTTCAGCTTCTTGAGAAGCGACTTTCTCCACAAACATTGAGCCAATACACTTCCTGTGTGCATAAAACCTTGGAGCAACCGTCTTATAAGCTTGGCTTGGTATATGCCAAAAAATTATCTCCGGTACCCTGTTAGATGTCCTTTCATGTTTAATATTACTCCAAATGAGAAACTCAAACACAAAATTTAGAGGTTAAAACTCCAACATTTGATTACCTTGAGTTAGGATTGATCTCTTGAGATGTGCGGTTGAACCATTCCGCTTGGGCATTTGATATTACCTCAGGGTATGAACCACCACCAGAATCTAAGAAATACATGTATGTTATGATTGATTCAGGGTCATCCGTAGATGAAAGTTTAAGGACATAGTTGGAAACACTGGGCCATAAATCTTTAGGACCAAATTTCGAGTAAGATAATCTATTCATCTCTAGTTCATTCATCATCAGCTCCAAACGCGTTGTGCCCTTGAAGCTGCAACCTTTGCCTCCTGAAATAGAAACTTTCTTGAATTTAAGCAATTTTCTTCAAATCATATCTTACCGAAAAGCATTAGAATTTCTTTCAATTAAATCAACTTGGATCGTTACAACAACAACAACAACATACCGAGTCTAGTCCTACAAGTGGGGTCTGAGGAGGGTAGTGTGTACACAAACCTTACCTCTATCTTGAGAGGTAAAGAGGTTGTTTCTGATAGACCCTCGGCTCAAGAAAATAACAAGAGTGAAGAAACCAAGACAAAATACTACACAAGGCATATTAGAAAAAAAAAAAACACAATAACTACAACAAATTAATAGAATAAACAAATTATAAAGGACAATCTATAGTAATAGAAATCGAAGGAACAAGAACCTACAAGAGTAATACTACGACTACTAGTATGGAAGGATAAGCAAGATTACACTTAGCTACCTACTAACCTTCTACCCTAATCCGTGTCCTTCATAATCTCCATAATCCACTTGGATAGTTCTTTTTGCAAATAACACTAGTATAAGAAGTACACCAAAAAGTAGAAAACATTTCAAAAAAATATGGTTTTCTACGAACGATGCCTAATCTTCTATACCTACAGGTGGGTGCACCAAAAGGAGATAAGGGATCCATTTGATCCATTCCTAAAGGAAGGAGAAAATGTGCATGTCAAGATTGAAGATTATACACTTCAACAATTCAATAAGTTCTGCAGAAATTGTTCATTCAAGTTTGATATAGATAACATAACAAAGAAGTATCAACTAATTTTAAAAGGGATCTATCCGACTCATCCAAAAGTTATCTTTGCATGAAACCTGCATTTTGATATAACCTCAGAATCTAAGAAATACATGTTATGACTGATTCCAGGTCATAACTTAACGACAGTTTAAGAACATAGTCGGAAACACATGACCACGAATTCTTAGGACCAAATCTTGAGTAAGAAAATGTGTTCATCTCCTGTTTAATATAGTTCCAAACACTTTGAGCCCTTGATGCTCCCACCTTTGCTTCCTAATAATCCTACCCGCTAGAAGCATTAGCAATTCTTTAGATGAAATCCACTTGGTTCAGTGCAAGACAAGATTCAAGGTCACACACTATAACACTTGAACAAGTTTTGCACATTTCCTCGACTAGTAATCTAGTATCAACTTTTTAGTCTAATTCCACTCATCCAAAAGTTCTCTTTTGTATGAAACCTGTCTCTAGTATAGAAACATAATATTGTAAACTGACTCTTTAAGTGATAAGAAAGTCATTCATGACAAAGTAAAGAGATGCAATAAGCCAATAATAAAATTTCAAGCCAAAAACAGAGATTTGTCTTCCGGAGTTCTCTATCTACTTTTGCTAAGTTGGAGAAACCATAAGAAAAAAGGAACATTAAAATATGCATGCTATTTACAAATTGGAAATCAACTGAAATCTCAACAAAGGAAGTATTAACTTTACATCTTTGTTTATGCGATATCAGTTTATCTTGGTACCTTCAGACTCACTAGGACAGGAAGCATTCATTGGACAACGAAAAGGGGGAATTCCGGTGGATGAAAACCAATCCATTGGCCACTCAAATGGCATATCGTCATGGTTTCCAAACACGCTAGCCCATGGAATTCCCCTGTCTCTGGTCGGAGAGATTGCTTGATCCCAATATAAACTTGCATTTTGTATCGGTATGTTGTTGGCTGTAATGACATCACCAAGATAAACTACGAAGTCTGCAACAAAAATCTTGAATTAGACAAGCATCCGGAGGATATGCTGATTAGTGAAGAACATCTCAACTCCATGTGTTCAACCCAACCGAGTGTTATCAACACAGTATATATATCTATGTACAACAACAACAACATACCCAGTGAAATCCCACAAAGTGGAATCTGGGGAAGGTAAAATTGTGCACAGACGTTAGCCCTATCTCATGGAAGAACAGAAGTTGTTTCTGAAAGACTCTCGGTCAAGTGAAGCAAATCAAAGTAGTAATGAAAAGGAAGAATGACAGTGAAGAAAACATGACAACTAATAGGAATGCAGTGCAGAGCATACAAGCAAAGGATCAGTAACATCACCAAAATAGTGCGATCACCTAAACATAATAAACAAAATATGGTAACAGATAACAAAAGCAAGCAACTACATAAACGTTATTAAACTTTCAACAACATCAGCAACTCAGTCTCACGTGTCGTACAAAAAAAGTACACCTAAGAATATCATAATGATCAACATCATTGGGAGATTATCTGAAGCACAACAAAACTAAAATGACAACAAGTCTTGATGGATGAGACCAGAGGAAATAGAGTGTACAGAATAGCAGATATTGTTCACAAACAATGTAAATATGTAAGAGCAAAAGAATATCAAACTTGATATCACATTTATATGTTCAAATTCTATGGCCATCATAATAATGTTTCAGCCACATCAGGGACTTCATTTTTAGGTACAGAGCACAAGATTACTAATGTAACACACAGCAACATAAATCCATATAGAGGTATAGTAAGACCCCACCACTAACATTAATTTATCTAACTAGTTGTCAGTATCATAATATATTATTAAATAAGACAAACATATGAGTTAGTATTTTTTATTCTGTATCGAAACGTTACGAGAGATTGACAAGTCTTAATTGAGGTGACTAAATGAAAATAGTAGGCGAACTTTAGGAAGTCGTCTATGTATATCCACCCGCCTAAGATTTAGTATGCAGAGTAATCCAACACCAGTGCTTAGAGGTGGAGCCATGATTTTTAGTTTATAGATTCTTAATCTGCATCCTTTTTGCTTAGAGGCGGAGCCATGATTTTTAATTTATACACATCAAATGATTTTTTTAATACAAATAGAGCATATTAACCTAAAATATTGGGCTCTGTCGAACCTATAACCACAATGCTTTGAACTAAGCTAATACTAAAAGAAAGTTTCATAACACAAAAATGAAACTAAACATATTAAGATTACCAACGCTTGATATATTTAGCGGATATTTGGTACCTCAAAATTAAGTTTGAAAATAAATTTATACTGTGTTTGGTTGACGGTATAAATTAGTTCAAGGACTATAATCCTATATATATATATATATAAAATTTAGTCCGCGTACCAAACGATTTACAAAATTGTGGATAATGTTATCACCTGGTTGTTCTTCATCGAGCACAGTAGACATAACTTTAATGGAGTTTACGTCTTGGCGTGGGCCCCAGTCCGTCCATGCGTTTTCTCCGAAATGCAAGTCAGCGAAAAGTGCAATTTTGAACGATGAACCGGACGGCCGGAGGTGTAGAGTAGTACTATTTTCCGGCGACTGCGACTGCGACGGCTGCGGCGTATGGAAGGAAAGTTTCTGGCGAATTTCACGTTCATCTAGTGGTGAATTGTGTGAATGGACGGTCAGGATTAATCGGAGAAACAGAGAGATTAAGAAGACGGTAGACATCATCATCGGAGGTGTGCAACCGACGTTTAGTAGTACAGAGATATAATTTTATTGGTGATGTGTAAAATGACAAAATCATCCTTCCTAATTGTGTCCAACTTCAATGCATCTCGATTAATTTTACCGTTATTATTATCTCTTACTAAGTAGAGATGAATAAACAAAAAAGGAATTAGTAAATAGGTGATTAGACATGAAATGGTATTAGGGAAACCCCGAAATTAAAGATTTTGTTCCTAACTTGCTGACATCCCGATGAAGAGAGTCATTTTTTGTGTTACATTTTCGAAGATGCAAAACATATCATAAATGTTGAATTCTAAGAAAGAGGGGGGGCCTTCCCGCGTATGCGCCTTTATTTATATTCTTTCAATTTTTGAATTATCAATGAAAAAGCTTCTTTCCTTACAGTGGCTTTCACTCCTTCTACTCTAAATTACTGTGTGCCTACTTGGAGCTTTTCACAGCCAAAGTCAAAGATTTGTATTGATTCAGTTTAGTAAGTATACAACATGAGAGAGTAGAGCAGACACTATTGACTATTGCCATTAGACTATTTTTCTCTTGATTTGATAGTCCATCGAAAACGTCTCTTAATATTCAATTTTATCATCAGAAGAAATTAATTATCACGCTAAAATTTAAATTTAAGATCACCTGATTTTTAATCGTCTTTATTACTGATTATCGAGCGTATTAGATTTACTATTTTGAATTACGGATTTACTCAAAATCAATAGTAAAAGATATTTCTGTCTGCATTTGACACGCATGTGCTGTGATGAGAATATTGCTCAACGTAGAAAGGAATATGCTAAATTTAGCATTGTGGGAATATATTACCCATTTATTATTACAGTGAAATTTGAAATATATTTTGGGAATATATTGCCAATTTATGCTTAATTTTAAATTTTAATGAAATGTCCATTAAATTATTATTTTTTATATAAGAAATAATAGAGAAACTAAGCAGATATCCCATAAGTACAAATTAATTACAAAAGTATGTCCCTTATATTGATATCTCATTAAATAATTATAATAAATGTCCTATCTAGATAGTCTTCTCGTTTAAAGTTGAATTATTCCATTCTCCTTGTTGCATCATTTTTTGTTGATCTGTCTAGTTTACCCACAAAAATATTGTAATTGCATAATTGAGCAACTCTCACAATCTTCCTTGTTTTAAGAAGAAGAATAGAAAACTTACAAATATCGTAGTTTAAAAGTGTGAGAAAACCTCTTTATTTATAGACAACAAAGGATAGTATGAAAATGTGCTTATCGTGCCTTATCAGATAAGTCACAACCCTTTAGAAAAATCACAATTTTTCGAAAATGTCATAACTCATCGAAAAAGTCAGAACTCTATAAATGTGTTTATCGTGTCTTATCAAATAAGTCACAACCCTTCAGGAAAATTACAACTTTTCAGAAATGTCATAACTTATCGAAAAAGTCATAACTCTATAAAAAAAAGTCACAACCCTTCGAAAAAGTCACTACCCATCAATGTGAAAAGATATTAGCTTTTAATTCTACTATATTATAAAAGGGAGTTTATGCCCAAGTATATATAATATTCAATATTGGGACTTTTCCCAATCTTGAATATTATATATTATACGTGTGGGACTTTTAAAAAGATGTTTATACCCAAGTATAATATATAATATTAAAGATTGGGACTTTCTTGAATATTATATATTATATTTATTATATAGTAGAACTTGGGCATAAACTCCTTTTTAAAATTATATATATATATATATATATATATATATATATATATATATATATATATATATCTCACAAATGGAAAAGTCTCAATCAAGGAAGCAACATATATCATTTACAAATGACTTAAAAAGCATTAAAAATTACAATAATTACCAATTTAAAATATTTAAAAGCTATCTAATAACATAGGTTAACTCTCAGAATTTTATCAGGCTCACATATATTGGGACAGAAAAATAACACATATCATTTTAATATTACCAAAAAAGTATTATAAATAATAATAATTAACAACTTAAAATATCTGAAAGACATTTTAAAAGGGTTAATTTTGTAATTTTATCCATATCACATAAATTAGGACAAAGTGACCAGTAATGTACATTATTTCAAAGTTACATAAAAATATTATAAATCACAATAATTAATAACTTCAAACATTTTTAAAAAAAATATGAAAATTTGGATGACTCTCCAAATTTCATTTGTGTCACATAAATTGAGACAACAAAAATAACCTATATTGGGTCCAGTTTAATTTATTTGTCTTATTTTTTATATATTTAAAAATTGCGTAAAAATACTATAAATCATGATAATTGAAAACATAAAATATGTTTTGAAAAAAAATACAAAAATTCCACTGATTCTTGAAGTGAATCTATCGTAAAAATACTATAAATCATGATAATTGACAACATAAAATATTTCAAAAATGTTGTATGTGGGTAGTCTTATTATGCTTTAAATAGTGTCAAAGAAAGTACAGGTTTGTGATAAAAAAACTTATTCCTTTATTCACGCAAACAATCACTTCAAAAATTCGGTTATTAGCCCCAAAATATACCATTTATATTATTGGGCCCGTGCATAGCACGGGCAACATTATCTAGTATAATATACAACAAACAAATAAATAAATATAATATAGAATATAGAATATACTAAATTGAGTGTTTTAAGTTGGGGGGTATTATAACAATTTAACATTCAAGTTAGGGAGTTTGTGCTTTTAAGGTAGTACTAGTCTTTGGAAACGTGCGTTGCACGTTTATCCCCTATTATTTTCATTAAATTTGTACATGCCTAATTTTATATCTTCAAATCCACGTATTCAAAGACTGTTATTTTTATAAAATTTGTACATGCCTAATTTTATGTATTATTGTACTAAGTATGTGTTTAGTCAAACACAACAATATCATCTAAATTTAACACAATTTTAGTTATTACTCCCACTATTCCTTTTTACTTGTCATGTTGCGTTTTTTGAAAGTCAATTTGAATAATTTTTAAATTTAATTTAGATTACACTAATTTGATATTTTGAAATAAGAATTTAGATATTCAAAAACTCTACGGAAAGTACTATAAATTGCAATTTTTTTCATATCAATATGATGAAAAAAATACATCTGAAAATGTTAGTTAAAGTTTATATCATTTGACTATTAAAAAGAAATTAGTAACAGCTAAAAAAGACCAGAGGGAATAGTTCACTAAATAGGAAATGTTGAACTATGTAAACCTAATTAAGATAATATAACATCTAACATTATCGGAGTTGCTGGCATAGAATTAGCGTTGATACTTATAATAATAAAAAAATAATTAAAACACCTAAATAGGACTAACTTGCTTTTTACCAACCAAAAAAAGGCACAAGTATATAAATAATGATGTACCACATTCGAGGCAACCATGCTATATTCCCATGTATACAAGTCCAGTAACTCCATTATCTTAATTTAAAATGTGATACATAATCTTTAGGTTTATTCTAAAGTATGTAATTTTAATTTGGTTAAAAGATGCAACAAGAAAATAACAAAAAAACTTCATTTCATACACCAAGTACCTTTTCAAGAAGCAACATATATTAGGCAACCAAGATTACATCCTCATGCTGGTTCACCACTAAATCATCAAAATCTCAATTATGCTAAATCATGATTATAACTTTAAACTCTTCGTGTATGGTGAAAATGAATGAAAAGGGTGGTTATGTTTTAGGGTGATGCTAAATGCCTAGAAAAAGAAATTTTAAAAAATCATAATATCTTTTTTATTTTAAAATAAACTGATCTTTTTTCTATGTTTTAGTTAAACTGTATTAAAGTTAAAAGGATAAAAATGTTTAAAAAGGTAAAATAACATAAGTAAAATACCTTTCTGGCCAAAAGAATTTTTCCTATGTTTTATTAGGAAAATAAATCCTTGATTGATTACATGTACGTTGATATTTCAAAATTTAATACTGCAATAAAGATTGGAAGATGAAGCAATTCAAGATTTACATTAAATAAACATAATTAAGTACTAAAAAAGTGATATAAAGTCAAGGAAATAGTAATACACATTATTAAGTCTATGAAAATTCAAAATACATGTTTCACGAACTATAAGGAGAAGCCTAAACATCTAAGTTATCCATATACTAATGACTTACGATTAAATGTATATAGTATCTTACTATTAACTGATTTATTAATTGTATGAATAGTATTTACTAAAACTTTTGGATTTTTTAGTGTTGTATACTATAATATTATATAATTACTATCTAAATATAATTAAATAAATATTTTATAACATTTTAATTTAGAGTAATTTTTTTAATGGCATTATTGTAGTAACTCAATTTTATTGGGATATTTTGATATTTCAACTTTCAACTACTTATAGTAATAATAAATATGATCGATAGATGGATAGATATAGATATAGACAGTGGCGGAATCAAGATTTTCAATAAGAGGATTCAAAATAGAAATAGGCATACAAAGTAGCAGAATAAGATTCAGCATCTATTATATATACATAAAAAGTTATTTTAACCATGTATAAATAATATAATATAAATAGGTTAAAAAATATAAAAATAAAAATATAGATTTATGAAAGCAGTTTGTGCTAGTAGATTTTAACGCAATTTTCCATAATAAGGATGATCGAAATTAGAGCAGCCTAAAAATCGTAAAAACGGAGTTGTGAAAGTGAAACCCATATTTTTGTTTTATATTTTTTTAATTACAATATTCTCCTTATTTTCCCCCTTTTTCCTCTTACCCATTAACCCCTCCTCTCTCTTCCCGTTGATAAACCCTCCCTGCTGCTCCTCCGCCGGAGCGCCACCGCCGTCACCGCGAAGTCTACCCGACTAGCATATTCCGGCGACCTGTAAGCGTCTCTATCTTTTGCTCTATTTGTCAACATCCATAGTAAGTACTAATCGGTCCGCCTCTGATTCAATGTCCTATCCGCGATTTTTGCTGTCTGTTTCGAGCTAATGCGACTCACACAGCTATTTATTAGTCCAAGAAAGAACAGTTCGATTTCTCAGAAGAAATGCTATGTCAAGGAGCATTGCATCTTCACTGGATGTGAACATATAATAAAAAGAAGTTACAGTTCTGATTCAATTTTGTAAATGTTTTTAGATTACTTGTGTTTGGGTGCAATTGTGTTTCATTTGCTTGCTATAGTTGATTTGAACATTGAGCATCACTTTTCCTTTTAATAAGCATGCATAAGTGTTCATTTAGCTGATTGGTTTAACGAAATCTGGTAAAACTCACAAAACAAGGCTGAAACTTGAGGGAGATGAGTTGGGAATTCGTTATTTGGCCTGTGGGATGGATTGCATAATTCAAAGAGAAATGGCATAACTTGATATTCTGGAAAATTAGTAGTATAAATAGGGGATAATATGAGCAAAATAAATTCTTGAACTACTCGGTCAGAAAGTAGGTTTGAGATTATTTCTGATTGATGTCTGAAGTGAATGGTTCTGTTTTCTTTTGTTTGTATTCACTGTTTGAACTTCTCTCTGATCAGGATATGGATGCTATGGATGCTGAGGATGAAGTTCCTGTCTCAACTTCAGAACCTTCAACTCTAGTTGATGATAATTCAACTGTGGTTAATGCTATAGGTGCAGTTAATCTTCAACCAGTTCCAGCTGTCATTCCACCAGTTGTTCCAATGGTTATCCTTCCTCCTGTCGTGCCTGCAATTGCTCCAAGGCTTGCAGTTCCTACCCCTATTCCTCCCCCATTAGCTCCGTTGCCTGTTCGTCCACCTGTCCTTAGGCCTCCGGTAGCTCAGAATGGAGAAATGCAAGAGAGTGATTCAGATTCAGACCTTGAAGAAATGGTATCCGGTCGTGGTGCTGGGGGCTCCACGCAAGAATATGAGATCTCTGAGGAGAGTAGAATTGTCCGAGAGAGGCAGGAAAAGGCCCTGCAGGAGCTTCTCATGAAGAGACGTGCTGCTGCGCTAGCAGTTCCTACAAATGATATGGCCGTTCGAGTTCGACTGCGAAGGCTTGGCGAGCCCATAACTCTCTTTGGAGAAAGGGAGATGGAAAGAAGGGATCGACTGCGGATGCTTATGGCAAGGCTTGATGCAGAAGGGCAGCTGGAAAAGCTGATGAAAGCTCATGAGGATGAAGAAGCTGCAGCTTCTGCTGCACCAGCAGAGGAGGAGGATATTCAATACCCTTTTTACACAGAAGGATCAAAAGCACTTTTAGATGCTAGGGTAGAAATCGCAAAGTATTCTTTAGTTAAGTCGGCTTTACGTCTCCATCGTGCAAGGAGGAAAAGGGATGATCCAGATGAAGATGTGGATGCTGAGGTTGATTGGGCTTTAAAGCAAGCAGGGAGCCTGGCCCTTGATTGCAGTGAAATTGGAGACGATCGACCCCTTTTTGGATGCTCGCTTTCACATGATGGAAAGATGCTTGCGACCTGGTATTCTTCTGAGCCTGTCTGTCTTGCTTTACATGACCCTAACCCCACTCCCATTTTATTTTTTTTATTTCAAGGGTACTCTTTTCCTCATTCTTTCTTTTTCTTTTGGGGGGCGGGGGCATCACAGGTGGGTGGGATAGAATCCATGGATTGTTTTTAGTTGGATAACTGCAGGTTTCAGTGTAGATTCATATACTAAAAAACCTGTTAGTGTTCCCCAATTCTGTTTTTCACCTCTACTGACTCATATGAGTGGAATATACTGCTTTAATTTATTTTTTTTGCCAGCGATTCCCTATTAAATCATGTGAAAAATCATGGTTAGTGGGAATTCATATAGTTGACTCCAGCTTGCTTGGGACTGGGATGTAGTTGTTGATTCCCATATTAAATCTAACAGTTAGATGTTTGATTGTTTCAAGATCCTACCAAATGAACTGGAAGTAGGATTTTTATTCTCGTAAGCAAAAAATTGTCATGCTTTATTAGAGTGTCTTTTTAACAGTTATGACTTATGAGTATGGATTCAAGGCTTCAAGCAACACATGACACTTTTTCACCCTTTTCTCCTGTGTTAAGTTCTCTGAGTGGTATAGCAAAAATATGGAGTATGCCTCAAGTGCAAAAGGTTTCCACTCTAAAAGGTCACACTGAACGAGCTACTGATGTTGTGTTCTCTCCGACAAGCAATTATTTAGCTACTGCATCTGCTGACAAGACCGCAAGGTTATGGAACTCAGAAGGTTCTCTCCTCAGAACTTTTGAGGGACATTTGGACCGTCTAGCTCGGATTGCTTTTCATCCTTCCGGAAAATACTTGGGCACAGCTAGCTTCGACAAAACTTGGAGATTATGGAATGTGGAGAGTGGTGAAGAGCTGCTTTTGCAAGAAGGTCACAGTAGGAGTGTTTATGGATTGTCTTTTCACCATGATGGTTCATTAGTGGCAACATGCGGGTTGGATGCACTTGTTCGAGTGTGGGATTTAAGGACTGGGCGAAGTATTCTTGCTCTAGAAGGCCACGTTAAACCGGTTAGTCTTTCTTTGATTTGTGGTGTCCTTTTCCCTCATATGCTTTAGGGATTATGGGAAGACTTAAAATATGAATTCTGCTACTTATTTTATTCATTGGTTCCAGGTTCTTGGTGTCAGTTTTTCACCGAATGGTTATCATCTGGCTAGTGGGGGTGAAGATAATACCTGTCGTATTTGGGACTTAAGGAAGAGAAGATCTTCTTACATCATACCAGCTCACTCCAATCTTATCTCTCAAGTTAAGTTTGAGCCTCAGGAGGGGTACTTTTTGGCTACAGCTTCCTATGATATGACTGCTAAGGTATAACTTTTAAGTCTGTCATGATTATGCTGCTTCTTGGATCTCTTTTTGTTGCTTGTTTTTATGTTTTAAATCTTAAACTTATATTTCAGGTATGGTCATCAAGGGATTTCAAGCCTGTAAAAACACTCTCTGGTCATGAAGCAAAAATCATGTCATTGGATGTTGCGGCAGGTAAGTTCCATTTGATTTCAAGCTATTATTACCTTCTCGTGGAGTGAAACAGTATCCTGAAGGCATTTAAGAAGTATAAGGCTTGAGTTTATTATATGCTTTGCATCTTTGGTAGTAAGCCCACCATTCCTGATTCCTCTCAACACAATAATTGTGTGTCTCCTATGCTTTCTTAAGCTATACAGAGATAATAATGCATTAACCTGGGAATGACTTGTGTAGCTATTTGTTGTTAGTTCTTTTTTCACAGTCTGAGATGTCTTGCCTTGTGGTACCATTTATGGTAGGATAGAAGCTAACCCACTTCCAGAACCCAAGAACATTGGTAACAGATGAACGATCGGATTTATGATTTTCTTTTACTTCCCATCAGAGAGATGTGAAATAAGTGAAGATATAAATGATGTGGCATATGTCATAGAACACCTTCGGTAATTGGCACAAAAGCTGAGCTTTAGTTGTTGGACCAAATCTTGTTGGTCATCTTCTGTTATCATTGTACTAATGTATAATGATAAGCATACCTTATAATTTGGAACATAGCCACTTTCTCTAGATCTACATTCATGAAATCCTCCACCCTCTGACTTTTTCAAGCAGGACCCAGAAAATTATGTGAAGAAATGTGTCAGTTTGAGAATGCCTCATATTAGAGCAGTCATGTGAACGAATGTGAAGTACTTGCTGTTTTCTCTGCCTTTCAGTTATCATTCACTTCCTAGTAATTCTAAGGTGGACCCCTAATTTTGTTTGTAGTTATATTTTTCCATGCTTCTCTTAATTTTAATAAAAAAATGTTTCCCATGACGGGCTTATTTCCTGCTATCCACCCTCCGCACAAAAAATAATAATAGAAGCTGATATTTCTAGAATCTCAAACCTTTCCTTCACATTTCACAAATGCTTATTTATTTGTCCATTTCTCTTTTATTTGGTGCCAGATGGACAATTCATTACAACCGTGTCTTATGATCGAACAATCAAGCTGTGGTCAAGCAAAAACATTGAGAAGGAAGAGAAAATGGATATGGACTAGATTTTCACCTTGCTAAGTTTGTAGGAGTCTTACCATTTTCAGAGATCATCAAGAAGAGTTGAGTATGTTGATTTATGTGTTACGAATCTCTGTAGAAAATTGAAGCACATAGGCCCTTTGCTCGTTTTGTATTTTGTAAAGCCTTTGTCAACCAATGAAGTAGTGACATCCTCTACTGTTCAAGAAGGACCCAAGGGTTTCGGTTGTTTGCTGATCCGTGAGTTGGGTTTAGAACACCACGAGACAGTTCTTGTACTGCAATTGTTTTACACAATGCCCTGACAAATTATCTCTAACTCTGATTAAGGTTCATGGATATGCTAATGTAATTGTAAGCAATTGCGGTGTGCAGATTTTCAGTGCATTTCCGAGACCACTCTTGTATTGAATGATTCAACAAGATGGAGAAATTAAACAACATTCTGAGAAATTTTTACTATTTCATTTGTCTAACCTGTTTACGAAAATGCTTTTCTTGAGGTGAGGATCTATCGGAAACAATTTCAAGGAATCCTTCATCAGTGTTTGTAAATAATCAATTAGGCAAAGATCGTTAGACATAATTACCAAGATAAATGCGTCTCCCAACATCAAAATCGTACAAAGAAAGCTAAGTACAACATGTGCTAATGCAGTTTCTAACAAAATTCTCCTAGGGAATCAGTATAGGTTACAAGTTTCAACTATCATGCATGAATGTATATGGCTGTCACTTTCTTCAAAATATGGTATCGTCGTTTCTTCATAAAATAAAAACCTCATCATGCAGGTTTAAGTTAATGTTCTGATGGAATTCGCCTATTGAAATAGCTGATCTTGTATCACAGCTTCATTTGTACCAACCCGTAAGGAGCCATCTCAGCAGAAAACAGAAGCCACAGCACAGGGCCTGTAAGACATACATTTGTTACTCTTGACAATCCTTCCATGTATAAGAACTTATCTGATGAGATCATGTACATAAACAATCGAAGCAGTTCATGAGCTCAATGATTGAGCATGCTACGATCAGCATTATTGTTATCTTAACTACGTTGACTAACTAGAAATATATCACTGTTTTGTGATTTAAGAACAATCGATGGAGGTAACAGGAAAGCAACTGAACACCCCTGTTGGTTTATAGATGAGAAAAAAATGTAAAGAAGAGAAAGAAAGAACAAGTTATTTACCTGGAAGACTAGTAGCACGACACAAAGGGACTGCTCTGACATTCTGCCCAATTGCCTTAAGAAAAGGTTCACTAGCGTCCCATCATTTGTTCCAGTCAATAAGCCAGTCTGAGGATCGAACCTGAAAGGGTACAAGATTAGTTAGTCCAGACACAAACATGAATTCCAAAACTTCAGCTGCTTCAATTAGAGAACTTACTTAGGGAGCCGATGCCTTGGACAAGGTACAATACCAGCAAGCTGAAAGGAATTCAAGGGAGTTGAGAGTACTTAGAGATCCAAAATTAGTTTAAAATATATCATTTATTTTGCAAGATGGGTTGCACAAAGAGAGAGAGAGAACCTGAGGTACTGATAGTAGGAAGTTCAGAACTTGCGGCAAAAAGAATATAAGCAGTGTTTCACTGAAAGGAAATAGACAAAGCTAGGCGCATTAGTCTTAAGTTTCAGATGAAGAAACTTGAACAAATATCTTCATAAGTACAGACACTAAAGATCATTTATACAATACATACAATGGTGATACTCGATCTGACAGTTTATGTGACACTTGAACTGTTTTGGTACATCTTAATACGTTTCATATATTTCAACTATGATACCATTCTACGATCTACACAAGTTTGAAGATTTCACTTCAATTAACAATTTAATACATCAATGAGATCCCCAACTCAGCCAAAACTAGTCTTCACAGTTTCTTTTCACTAATATCAATGAGATCCTAAACGCAGCCAAGTCTACTTTCTTTTTTTTTGGATCTGGAAAGGAATAAATTACAAGCATTTTATAGGAGAAGTAATGTGATTCAACTCTTTGAGAGACTGATTCTTGAGAACTTTATGAATTAGCGAGTTAAAAAACCCTTCACATTTTTTTCAGATATGGGTAGTTTTCCCCTGATATGGGCTTGTTTGTTAAGCCCTTCGTGAACAGATTTGGGATCGTGTTGGTGCCACTTTTTTTGAGAATGAACTCTTTTGTTTTTAATAAAATAATATTCAAATTGTCTGAGGATGTCATTCCCTTGGTTCCACTTTTCAAGGACGATAGACTAGTCACTTTTTTCCTGATAAAGACAATACTCTATTGTTCACACAATACTATAGTCACTTTTCTTTTCCTGATAAATACAAATATCCCAGTCACTTATTGGAAAAACATGGGATTCATAGTCATGAGCCAACGAGGGTGCTCCATTCTCGCCTGGAAATCACTAGGTCACAAAGTCAAACCGACAAGGGAAAATGGGATGACCTTTTTTCTAAAAGATCAAAGATGCAATCAAATGGTTCAAGAAAGAGACTAGCAGAAGCACTACTGAACTGAATTGCTAGAAACAAGCAGAAAGATGTACCTAAAGTGACCCAAGATTCCAGCCACTGCCATGGTCATTCCAGCAAAATATGTAAAGGTATCACCAACGAAAACTGAGGAAGGATACCTACAATGACAGTGGCGAGTGTATTAAGTAAAACGTATGCTGAAGGAGAACTTTGAGGTTGTTTCAAGATTAAATTTTACCAGTTGTATGATAGTAAAGCCAAGGAAGTAGCAAGCATTGGCTGAACAAGGTAAATAGAAAAAGCATGGGCTAGTTTGTATTCAGGATCAGCAGATGCTCCAATTTGCATGATGTTGTGTATCAAAATCTGTAATTACTATAGAGTTAGATGACATTCAATCGTCCAAGTGATAACTAGAGAACGGTTAAAGCTTACAGCAGCTGCAATAACGACTGTCTGCCCAACTTCAAGGCCATTGATACCAGCGTGGATATTGATTGAATTTGTGCAAAATATTGCCAATAGCCACATATATAATTTGTAGATACATCCTGTAAAACCAGAGAGAATGAAGAACCGAGCTGAAGACAACATATGGAAAGAATTCATGTATGAAATGGTAAAGAATTACATCCATACAAGAGACAACTTTAAGCATGTTAAATGTGCATTTTAAACTTTGAGTACTTCATCAAATATGAATAACTCCAACTTAAGGACTTTCTATAGAAGCACAAAGAAATCATAGGATGCTTACCTAGATCCAAGATCTCTAATCCAACATATGATACAAGGGGTTTCGGTATAATAATAGTTGTATGCCCAGCATATGCCATCAACAATGGAAGAGCTGCAATGGAGGGTAACAGCAGTTTCCTGTTTCAAAAAATTACATGAACTTCATAAGAATCTAAGCTGAAAAGATTTCAAAAGGTTCCCACCAGTTGCATCAGAGATAGCCTTTAGATATGAAAGAAATGCTTACACTCTCCAAGGTACATCAAGGACATCATCCACAAACCCAAGTAGCATCATGAAGCAGATTGAAGATAATGCAGCATTGTACTCAACAAGCCACTGCCAAGTTCAAAGTCAACAGCTAGAACAACAATTTTTTGACAAGGAAAAAAGAAGGTGCAGCTAAGTACTATTATTTCGAGCAACAATTTTAATGTGACTATTACACAAATCACATATGAACAAGCATATACACAATATTTTGAGGTTATCCACACACCCCTCTTTCTCACTACTTCTCTCCCCATCTAGTCTGCTTAATCTCTACCTATCTGCACTGTTTTATCCTGCCCTACATTTTTCTATGCCTTTGACATCACTGTTCTGCTTTTTGTTGCAGAGTACCTTTTGCTTTATGAAATTAATTTTGACATTTAAAGTTAGTATCGAACCCATTATTAGAGTGATCCTTTAATATATACCAAATTGTTGTGATTGTCTTCTCGTTTTCAGTCACAGCCCTGTCCTCCTATTTTGAAAATTCCATGCGTTCGTTACATATTATGCTTTTTGGGCCTATTCTTTTGACACAACCAGATCATGCTTTAGTTCACTTAGAAGGAAGAAGGCATGTGCTTCGTGCACAAGCACATTGGATGCACATCAGAGTTTTTCTTCTCGTTGTGTAAATAATTATATATTTGCAAAGTCAAAAGAGTGTTTTTTTTCCAGATAAAACTTGCAAAAAGTGATTTGGTTAGTTACATTCTCTTTGATTATTCAAAATTTTCTATAGAAGTCAGTTGTAAGATGTCAATTGACACCATCACAGGCAGCAAAAAAGTCAATGGGAAATAAATGGATTTGGATACGTGTGTAAGGATGCATGATAATTAACCCAGCTGCCCAATTTACTGCAATGCACAACCACTTGTGAATTGTCAATTAGTAGTATTTCCCCCCAAAAAGCAATAAACCAGCAACTTGGAACACTACAACTAGTGAATACTGGATATGTTTATTCTCTTTAACCTTACAGCTACAATTCTTTTAAATCAATAAAGATAATGATTAGTGAGGATTCATATAGTCCTTCACAACTCGTTTGGGACTGATAAATCATGGACTGTTTTAATTATAATCCTTTGAAGAAGTTAAAAGAATATAGCAAAACGTGTGCTTATAAGCTCAATGTCAGTAGGGATCAATCTTTGGCACTGTTTTTTCTCACCTTTAAATGGAGAAAAAAAACTATCTCATGTTTTATCATACTAATACTAGTTAGAAGTTCCCACGACTGGCAAGCAAGAAAGGAGCACACAAAATAATGCCAGAAAAAGTAAATCAATATAAGCAGTTATCAAGACGTAAAGTAGATCATCAATGAACAAAAAACTCCAAATTAAACCACACAGCTTGCATCTTTACTTACATTTGAATCAGCTGTGAAGTTGAAATATTGAAACAAGATTGCCACGACCAAGAACACAGCCCCAACAATAATGCCTAGTGACTCAGGTCTGCGAAAAAACAACATGGATCACTCATACATTGCTTAGTCATACACTGAATAACTTAGTTGAACTTGGTTGTTAACTATTGAATCTCTTAACTGAGTCCATCAAATTACTCACTTTGTCCCAGCAAAGATGTCCTACCGTCATTTTAGGCCGTTCCATAATGATCTATGCTGATTCTTTTTTATCAGTAAAGAGAATTTTTTTTTACGAATTCCCAGCATTAGCTGTAAGCTGGTACTCTCTCCATTTCAATTTGTTTGTCTTACTTTCCCTTTTAGTCCATTTTAAAAAAAAATTCTCTATACTTTCCTGATAACTTTTTTATTCCAACTTTCCATGTAACATTTCTAAGACCACAAGATTAAAGAATATTTTGGTATATTTAGTTGAAGACCATGAGATTCAAAAGTTTTTTACTTTCTTAAACTCCGTGCCTAGTCCAAACTGGACAACCAAATTGAAACACTGTAGCCACATTACATATTGTGTGATGAGCTCAAGAATCAAC